GCTGTAGGTTCTTGCTATTCATCACCTTGAATATTTCTTGCCATTCCCTTCTGGCCTGCATGGTTTCTGTTGAGAAGTCAGCTGACAATCGTATAGGTGCTCCTTTGTAGGTTACTACTTTCTTTGCTCTTGCTTCTTTTAATATTCTCTCTTTGTCTTTTGCTCTTGGAATTTTAATAATGATGTGTCTCGGTGTGGTCCTCTTTGGATTCCTTTTGTTTGGAGTTCTGTGCGCTTCCTGGACTTGTAAGTCTAATTCTTTCACCAGGTAGGGGAAGTTTTCTGTCACTATTTCTTTCAGTATGTTTTCCATATCTTGCTCTCTCTCATCTTCTGGGACCCCCATAATTCTGATGTTGGTTCGCTTGAAGTTGTCCCAGAGGTTTCTTACATTATCTTCAATTTTCTGGATTCTCTTGCCTTCTAGCTTCTGTGGAGGAGTGTCTTCTGGCTCTTTATGTTCCAAATCTTTGACTTGATTCTTGCGATCTTCTCTTCTGTTTTTAGGACTCTGTAAAATATTTTTTATTTCAGACAATGTATTCTTTATTTCTTGTTGATCGCTTATCATTTCTTGTTGACTCCTTATTAATTCTAGTTGATCTCTTTTCATATCCTCGTAGCCCTTATCCATCTTTTCTAAGAAATTCTTGAAAAAACTTATAAGCGTAGATTTGAACTCTATATCCAGACGCTTTTTGTCCTCCATTTCTTTCGTTTGTGATCTATTTTGTTGTCGCATTTCGCAGTTACAGATGGGACGGGGTTTCAGGGTGGAGCCTGCAGCTTTGGCTTCTGTCAGCCCCGCCCTATGCGGGTCCTTCAGTGCTCGCTGCCGGCGCCTCTGAGAGAAAGGTGCCCTCGATTTTCGCCTGCTGCCAAACAGTCTATGCTCTCCCACAATGAGCCCGGTATTGGGGTTCAGTTCAGTTGGAAATGGAGTTGGAGGTGGCGTTCAGAGCAGTCTGGAGCCCCAGTCTCCTTCCCGTCAGGGCAATCCCGCGGCACAGCCGACCGTCCCTTCTCTGCGCGCAATGTGCGCGCCTCCGGGACCTCCTTTTGCCTCTCCCCGGGGTTCCGCCTTACAGCCCGGCTCCCTATGGCTGAGCCTGAGTCCCCGGGGTCTGGCCCAGAACCGGGGTTCAGAGCAGTCGGGGGCCCAGCACAGTCGAAGTTTTGTCTCCTTTCCGCTAGGGAACGCCCGCCAGGCACTCGGCCTCCCTCCTCTCCGGCTCCTTCCTCTCCGCACGCCGCGTCTCCGTACCTTGGGCTTTTCCAGCTCCTCCGCACCTCCTTCTGGTTTTCTCCTTGCTTCTCGCTGTAGAATTTCCAGTCAGTCAACCTTCCTGTAGTTCTGGGCAATGTCCGTTTTATATTTTAGTTGTATTTTATTGAAATTGTTGTGTGCGGCTGCGGCTAGGTGTTCACCTGGGCGCAGCCATCTTGGATCTCTAAATAAACTTCTTGATTAAAGAAAAACAAAACTACGTAGATTCCTCCTATTATATGTTTCTAGGACTACTGGCCACATCAGCCCTTTCCTATGGAACTTGACACTTTAGAACAGTATGCTGCAAACTTTCTGGGTTTCTTACGTGGCCAGCTTCCATAAGAGAGGTGTCTTTCTAAGACCTGCTATCAAAGAGCTGCCTTGGAGATATCAAGCTTGGCACCTTCAAGGACAATACCAAGAGAGCAGACTCCTCTGTCTCCTATTGTGTCAGTCAACGACTGCAACACTAATTCTGGGTAGCAAACCACCTCACAACATACTGCTTAAAACAGCAATTCTTTTCTGTAGGCCACTGGCTCCAAGCTGGAGGATGGTTCTCATTTTTCTTGGACCAGCAGATTCCCCAGGCATGTTCTTCACATTGTGAAAGGCAGGTGTGGAGAGAGGCAAGTGGAAACATGCAATGTCTATTAAATAATGCCAGGCTCAAAATGGTCACACTGTCACTTCTGTGCATATTCTTTCGGCCAAGAGCAAGTGCAATGACCTAACCACATATCAATGGGGTGGAGAAACATTCTATCTCTAATGAGAGGAACTATAAAGCCACATTTCAAAGGGCACACATGCCTGGAAGAAATAATGTTATCTAGCCAGGTTATCCACCTGGGACCTTTCAGCTTACTTCCAATTGGCAGTGGGGGAAATATATTTCTTCTAATGATGGCTGACGACAGGAATTATTTTTTTAATTTTTTAAAAATATATTTTTATTGATTTTTTACAGAGAGGAAGAGAAAGGGATAGAAAGCTAGAAACATCGATGAGAGAGTCATCCATCAGCTGCCTCTTGCACACCCCCTACTGGGGATATGTCTGCAACCAAGGTACATGCCCTTGACCGGAATCGAACCCGGGACCCTTCAGTCCGCAGGCCGACGCTCTATCCATTGAGCCAAACCGGTTTTCGGCAGGAATTATTATTATTTTTTAAAATCTTTATTGATGAAAGTCTTACCTAGGCTCTCCTTTTCCTTTCCCCCATTATCCTCTTCCACCACCTTCCGCCCCCTTCAGCACCCCATTGTCTGTGTTATGCATATATGCATACAAGTTCATTGGTTGATCTCTCTCCACCCATCTTCCCCTGCCTTCCCTCTGAGGTTGGACAGTGTGTTCTTGCTTCTGTGTCTCTGGGTCTATTTTGACAACAGGAATGATTTGACCGTGCAGGTGAGATCTGTTCCTAACTCTTAAGAATCAGGCTTTGTCCTTGCAAGCTCCTTAATATGCCATGCTTTTGTCATGGAGATGCATTAGTATTGTTAATTCCTTCAAATATCAAAGTGGACAATGGTTGCCACCAGGGATAGGTTATTTCACAGGAAGTAGGGGAATAGAAATACTTCCCTAGAAAGGATGCTGTGCTTGTGGTATCCTGTTTACTGTGTATTAACATTTTGAATGTTAAAAGGCTTTATAAATTCTTTAGTTTAAAAGAGTGCCAAGACTTGTCACGTTTTAGGACTCAGGAATCCATAAAACTTCATTAGAGTTAAGAGGATCTCTTTTTTTTTTTACTGACCCTCTTTGCTATCTGGATTTCCCCTTTGTTTAAAAATAAAAGTCCTTTAATTAAGAAAAAAGCCCACAGCTTTGCTGTTTAAGCTAGGAAAGGAAGACTCACACACCTCCCTCCAATAAATAGAGGTATTACTAGTTTTAAAAAAAGAGAAGATCCTTGAATTCGTAGGTTCTTCAGGGACTTGAATCAGTGGGGTCTCCCGTGGGTCTCTGACATTTGAGCCCCATTCTGGGGTTATTTCCATGGTTCCCACGTTACTTTCAAGAAGAGCTACCACTTAGATTCCTCAGGGTTTCTTCTTCGCTCAAGAGTGGTTGTGGAGCAGCAAAAGAGAGTAAAGCCGGTGTTCAGAAATGAACCTGGTGAATGCCGCGCCAGGTCCTTCTGAGAGCAGCTGCAAGAGCCCGAGGGGAATGGAATCAGTCCCCAGGCGCACGGGGCAGTCACAGCTCTTTGTTAAAGAAACAAACACCGAACCAGAAGATGCTGCGGCTGAGAAATGTGATGGTGGTGGGAACAGACCGAGGAGTTTGCACGCATAACTGTGCCTTGCGAAAGGCCTTTCGTAAGAGGCGCTTCAAACGCAGGACAACCCGGGGCACCGTGTCATTGGCTTTGTGCACTTGGAGGCGCCTGAGTGCGCCTCGCTCGGAGAGGTTCCCCTTTGTGTGAAAGTGGGGAAACCAGAAGCGTGCAGCGACTGCTGGCTCTTCATTTTCGAATCGCAGGCACTCGGGGCCAAAATACCCCCGCACCCATACACTCCCGCATTCTCGCCCCAACAATACTCGGACTTGAGTTACTTCGTCGCGGGACTGAGCGAGGAGGAGCGACAAAGGCTCGGTGCGGGCGCCCGCAGCTCCGGGAGCCGCGCCAAGGGGCCGTCCGCCTCGCTCCGCAGCTGCGCGCTGAGCCCCCGCCGGCCGCCCGCCCGCCCGTCCGTCCGTCAGCAAACGCGGGCACCAACCGCCGAGCCGCCCGGCCGTTGGGCGGGTGGTAATTTCTGGGAACGGGGCGGGGTCCGCGGGCGGACGGAGCCGGACGGGGAGGAGGCGGAGCGGGCGGCGCCGAGGGGCGCGCGGCGGCCGGGCGGGGCGGGGCGGGGCGGGGCGCCGCGGGCGTCAGCGGCGGGCGGGGCGGGGTGGGGCGGGGCGGAGAGGGCGGCGCGCTGCTCCGCGCCCGCGCCCCCACCGTCCGCTCTGCCCGGCGGAGAAGTGGAGTCGGGCGGGCGCGGGCTAGTCTTCCCACCCCGGCCCCCAGGAACTGTCAGACTGCCCGCAGAGTGCGGGCCGGCCCGGAGGAGAGGGGCGGGAGTGGAGCCCGGGATGGGGTGCGGGCCGGGGCCCGCAGGGCGCTCGGAGTGGAGAGCGCGCGCGCGTGCGGACCGGCCGGCCGGCGGGGAGCGGCGGGCGCTGCAGGTGCACGAGCGGCCTCGCCGCCTGGGCGCCAGCCCGGGAAGGGGATGGGGGAGCTCCGGGCAGGGCGCGGGACACGTGGGGAGAGTCATCACCTGAGAAGGCGCGTTAGGGAGAAGTTGGGGGATCGGGGACGGGAGAGCCCCGAGAGAGCGAGCGAGCCGCGGAGGCAGGTTAGGCTGGGGGCTAGGGGCCGCGCGGGGTATAAACAGGAGGCCCCCCGCGTTGACAGGCGCTGCGGTGACTGGCGGTGCCGCCCGCCCCGCCGCTCGGGGAGGGGAGGAGCGCTCGGAGCCGGCGGGGTGGGGGAGGCGGACTCCAGTGTCCTGGCGGCGGCGGCAGGAGGCCGAGGGGGAGGAGCCGAGCGGGGGGTGGAGGGAGGGAGGGAGGGGAGCGGGGCGAGGGCGGGGGCCACCATTGCTCCCCGCGCCGGGCTGTGTGTGTCGCCGCGGACGCCTCCTCGGCGGTTGGGGGGTCGGTGGGGCGGCGCGGGCGGGGGGCGCTGCGCGGCGGGGCGGCGCGCGCTGTTTTGTCTCCTCCTCTCCCCGCGGAGCGGCTCGGGCTGCCGGGGAGGCCCGGCTCCCTCCGGACGCCCGGCCAACGGCGGCGGCGGCGGCGAGCCCGCGGCCCTGCCGGGAGGGAGAGCGGCGCCGCGGTGCTCCCGGGCGGGCGGCGCGGCGAGCAGGTAAGAGCGCGAGCGGCCGCGGCTGGGGAGGGAGGGAGGGGAGGGAGGGAAGGAGGGGGCGCGGGGGGCGCGGCGGCGGAGCCCCGCTCCGTCCCGGGGAGTGCCGCCGCCGCCTCCCTCCGCGCCTCCCGCTCCGCGCGGTGTTGTTTGCTCCGGGGTTTTCCAGAGGCTGTGGCCGTGACACCCGCAGGGAGCGGGGTGGGTGGGGGTCGGGTTGGGGCGGGGGGAAAGGGGGCTGGTGCCCTCGGGCAACGGTCGGGCAGCGGGGCTCCGAGGAAGGGGAAGGCGCGCTGCGCGCAGCCCGCGGGGCGCGCGGGGCGCGGGGCTGGCGCGGGGCGAGGGCACGGACCCCGGCGCGGGGGATGGGCCGCGCGCCGCCGGGCTCGCCGCCGTGTTTACATCTCGGCGCGAGTCACCTCTGCCGAGAAGCGGACCGAGCGGACCCGCCTTCCCCCGCGGGGAGGCCAGGGCGGGGGTCCGGCCCCGGAGGAAGCGCGTCCGGGGAGGGTCCGGCGGGGCGGGCGGCGGCGGCGGCCGGCGCCGGGGCTGGGCTGGGCGGCCCGCGCGGGGCGGGACCTGGGAGGCTCGAGCCGCTCGTTCCCTCCCCGGCCGGCCCGGGGCCCCACCGCCGCCTCCTACCTCCCCGACCCGACCCGTCCGGCCGCCGCCTCCTACCTCGCTGTCCCCGGCCGCCGGCCCGCACGGCAGGTTGTACTCGCTCCTTCTTTTATCCTCGCGCTCCTTGCCGGCCCCCCGCCGCCACTTCCCCTACTCCCCGGGGGCAGGGAGGCTTGTCTCTGCTAGGAATCTGCTTTCAAACAAAACAGAAACGGGCTCTGTCATACTTGCGCGCCCGGTGACCGCCTCCTGGAGCCTCTGCGGGCGAAGCCGGCCCTCGGGGAGCCGCGCCGCGGGCTGTTTTTTTGGGGAAGAGGGGCGAGGGAGGGAGAAGCGCGGGGAGGGCTCTGCTGGGGCCGCCGTGCCCCTCGCCCGCTCCGGCGGGGCAGTTTTGTTGCATGTCAGCAAAGGACGGGGAAAATATCCTAACACCAAGAGTAATCCAAATTGCTCCGTTTCCGAGGTGTCTCTTGGGCTAGTATCCCGGGCTCTTTTATTTTTATTTTTTTATTTTTCTAGATTCGCTGTAGACTACTAGCCTTCAAGTTTTTAGTACTTTATTGAATGAATGAGGGGACACCAGAATTTTCCTCCTTTCTTGTGATCGTGAGCATGTACTTCAGCTGTGTGGTTTAAATTTTAATCCGGTGATGAGAGAACAGTACTCGTGTGTTTGGTAATCAGATTTACTTTCCTTTTTATCTGTGAGCCTCTATGGAGAGGTAAAGTAAGCACTTTTTTTCTGGATCTATAATCACGGAAGAGTGCCGGAATCACCTGGAATGTTTGTACCCTTTTCTGAGATAAAGATTGGATGTTTTGTTCCAGAGTTTCTTCCTTTCTTCAAGACTATATAAAACTGGCAGTTGTTGAATTACACTTAAAGAAATTTAGGAATAATTAAAGCATTATACAGTTTACACGATTTGCACAGTGCATTCATATGAATGTTACTGAGATATCACCTAGCAAGCACATTAAGTAGAAAATTGAAATACCTTGGGCTCCTGAAATTCGAATATTTAATACCATTCTGTTTTTAAATTTAGTGACTTAACTAATTGATCAATTATTGCTTTTCATTTCAGACATATATATACTAAAAAAAAATCAGAATTTCATTGTAAAGAATTAGTAACTTTGAGACTTTTCTGTACTAAGTTAATAGATTGATAACTGTGTTGATGGCCTTTACCTGCTCACAGATTGCACAAGTGAGCATTTTTTTTTGGTAACAGCTTTATTGAGATATAATTCACATACCATTCAGTTCACCAATTTAAAATGTAGTTTAGTGGTTTTTTTTTCTTTTAAATCTTTATCTAAGGTTATGATTTAGAAAGAGGAGAATGAAGAAAGAGAGGAGAAACATCAATTAGTTGCTTCTTCACACCCAGACCAGCGATGGAATTGGAAACCTAGTTATGTGCCCTGACAGGGACTCGAACCCACAATCTTTTGGTGTGTGGTACAGTGCTCCAACCAACTGAGCCTCCTGGCCAGTTCGGTTTTTTAAATACATTTATAAAGTTTTGCCAACTATCACCTTAATCATTGTAGAATGTTTTCATCATCCCAGAAAGGAACCACATACCCATTAGCAGTCACTGTCAGTTTCCCCCCAATATCCCCAGGCCTAGGCACCACTGGTCTACTTCTTTGTACTTGTCTGTGCTGGGCATTTTATATAAATGGAATCATACAATATGTGATCTTCAGTGATTGTTTTCTTTCAAAGTGCATCCATGTTGTAGCATGTATCATTATTGCTTTTATTGCTGAGCAATATTCCATTGTATGGATATACCACATATTATTTATTAATTGGTGAACTTTTGAGTTTCCACGTTTTAGCTATTGTGAATAATGCTGCTGTGGACATTTGTGTACAAATTTTTGTTTGAATGTGTTTTCATTTCTGTTGGGTATGTGCACTTTTATTTTTTATTTATTTTTTGAGAACCAAATTTTTAAAAAAATATATTGATTTTTTAGAGAGGAGGAGAGAGGGATAGAGAGCTAGAACCGTCGATGAGAGAGAAACATTGACCAGCTGCCTCTTGCACACCCTCTACCGGGGATGTGCCCGCAACCAATGTACATGCCCTTGACCGGAATCGAACCTGGGACCTTTCAGTCCACAGACTGACGCTCTACCACTGAGCCAAACCGGTTTCGATGGTATGTGCACTTTTAAAAAATCAGCTTTTTGAGTTATTTAATTCCAAAATTAATTTATTTTGAGTGCACAGTTCAATGATTTTTAGTATATAGAAGTGTTGAACCACAAGCCAATTTTATTTATTTTAAATATATTTTTATTGATTTCAAAGAGGAAGGGAGAGGGAGAGAGAGAGAAAGAAACATCAATGATGAGAATCATTGATTAGCTGCCTCCTGGACCAGGGATTGAGCCCAAAACCCAGGCATGTGCCTTGACTAGGAATTGAACTGTGACCTCCTGGTTAATAGGTCGATGCTCAACCACTGAGCCATACTGACTGGGCAGTTTTAGAACATTGCGATTGCCTCCAAAATTTCCCTCTACTGTTTGTAGTTAACCCTTATTTTCACCCCGATTCCCAGGGAACCACTGATTTGTGCTTTGTTTCTATAGATTTGCCTTTTCTGACTATCCTATATAATAAAACCCTAATATATAAATTGTCCCCTCGACTGGGAGTTAGACTGCTTGCCATAACGTGTGTTGAACACTAGGGGCGTGATGTGGAACATGGTGGGTGCTAGCAACATTTTGCTGGCAGCAGGCAGCAGTGGAGGTGCTGCCGGCCCCCATGTACCCCAATGAGAGTGGGACTGCGGCAGGAAGGTGGAGCAGCTGAGTGGTTGGCGCCAGGCTAAGGAGGGTGTGAGTGGGGCCCAGTGCTTGGATTGCCCAGCAGCAGTGGTGGCGGGGTGGGGTACAGGGCTGGGGGTGGGGCCACCACTCGGCTCCCAGGTGCTGAAGGAGAAAGGGCTAATAGCAATATTAAAATAGTAGTAGCCCTGTGCACGAATCCATGCTCTAGTAGCTCTTTGCAGGGCTTGGCCACTCTGCGCCCGTTGCCCAGAGGCTTGCTGCAGCCCAGAGGCTCATCTGCAGCCGGGTGCGGAATGCTTGCCTCATCACTGTGGCTGCTCATGCTACCCACTCTCAGCGACTGCCCACCCTGATCCCCCAGGACTGGGGGACTCAGGAGGGGCTGAGAGGACTGGGCGCTGCCATCTTGTGGCTATGGGCATTACTATCTTTGTAATAGAGTGATGGTTAATTTGCATATTACCCTTTTATTAAATAGGATTTCTTCTAGTTACTTTCCTTTCAATGTGCACAAATCTGTGCACCTGGCCACTACTATCATAAATGAAATCATACCATATGTAGTCTTTTACATCTGGTTTCTCTCACACTGTTTTTGGAATTTTTCTTTATTGTAGCATGTATCTGTATTTTTTCTTTTTTATTGCTGAATAAATATTCTTTTGTATGAATATATTGATACAACATTTTGTTTATCTGTTGGCCAGTTGATGGACATTTGAATTGTTTCCAGGTTTTTAATTTTATTTTTAAAGATTAAAAAAAAAATGTTTTCATTGATTTCAGAGAGGAAGGGAGAGAGAGAGATAGAAACATCAATGATGAGAATCACTGATCAGCTGCCTCCTGCATGCCCCCAACTGGTGATCCATGGACCACTAATGATGGTCCCTGAGGTCCTAAAGGTTGGCAACTGCTGCCTCAGTGCATGGGAGAAGGCCCAGCTAACAGCCACATGGGCCAGGGCTGTTTCCAGTTTTTTTGTTTTGTTTTTTAAAATATATTTTTATTGATTTCAGAGAGGAAAGGAGAGGGGGAGAGAGAGAGAGAAACATCAACAGGAGAGACACATGGATTTGCTGCGTCCTGCATGCCCCCTACTGGGGATGGAGCTCAAAACCTGGACATGTGCCCTGACCGGGAATTGGAACTATGACCTCCTGGTTCATATGCTCAATGCTCAACCACTGAGCCATGCAGCTGGGCAGTTTCCAGTTTTGACTGTTGTAAATAATGCTGCTTGGACATTTGGGTACAAGTCTTTATGTGGACATACGGTTTCATTCTCTTGGGTAGAAACCTAGGAATAGAAATGCTGGTTCATCTGTTTAAATTTAAAAAAAAAAATGCCAACCTGCTTTCTAAAGTGGCTGTGCATTTTACATTCCTAATAGCAGTGTTTGAGAGTTCCAGCTTCTTCACATTCTTGGCAACATTTATTATTGCCATTTTTATTATAGCCATTTTGGTTTTAACTTGCATTTTCCTAAAGACTCAAGGTGTTGAGCATTTTTTTCATATGATGATTAGCCATTTATATATTCTATTTGGTGAAATAAAT